CCCATTTGAAGCACTAGCTCTAGCATGAAAAATTCCCACTATCAACAATACTTATGGGGGCGCCCTGGCCGAGTTGTTGTGATGCTGGTCGCCGCGCGTGGAGCCAGGCTCTACCCCCAACTCCCTTCGGGCAGTCAACGCCACAGTAAGGATATCCTTAAGATTCAAGGAGACACGCTCGACCAGTATTCCATGTCATTTAGAAAGAAGAGGAAAAACGAAGAGAAGGCTAGAAGTACTGGGATCCGCGAAAAAAATTTTATGACCGGTCATGTTTTTTTGATCGAGGAAAAAAATTTCCGCAGTAACCAAAGCACTACTGTCTACCAGAGAAGCGACTGGAGTTGGGGTCTTTGTGGCTTTTAGTAATCAACTGCTCGAAGGGAACTGGGCACTCGAATTCAGAAAAAAAGAAAACAACGATATTATAACCCAATCTCTACACAAAAAAGCCACCGAAAAAGGATACCCACAAGACAACAACCCACTAAAAAAATAAAATAATTTTAAAGCACGTACACGATTAGATGGAGTGGTATTTATAGTCTCCGAATTTCTATCTCAACTTCTATTAAACAATCAAAAATAAAAGCATTTGTCCATTACGAGACGACATATGAAAAACGGATCTCATTCGGTGGACAGGAACTTCTCATGGGACTATTAGTGCTCATTTGAAAGCTTAAAGTTCTGGCTAAAGCTCCAAGTGGCCAGTTATCGAAAGTCTTTTTTCGACGTTGCTACAGGAGATTTCTTGTGCTCCAGACACGCATATTTCTCGCCGAACGGAGTTCTTTCTTTGAACTATTGGTAATCATTTGATAGTGTAATATCTGCTGATTCCAACGCTGTGCTTGATTTCTGAAAAGACTGCTTATTTGCAATGCAACAGGGAAGATAAGCCTAATCACATACGCGAACAAAGGGATTTTTGGCCAATTAATGTGGTGGGTGGGTAAGGCGGCCATTGAACTGCTAACGCAGTACTTCTCTACACGTTAGTATGCGCGAAAATCGATGATCATCGCGTCACTTCACGTGGTCGCCTCACCCACCTGCACGTGAAATGAACAAAGACCATCTGCTAGCGTATAAGAACTCAATTTTATTTTCCCTGCTGCACTCCGTCGAAACGGTCTTTCCAAAAAATAAGCACAGCGTTTGAATCAGCAAACATCAGGCTATCAATTGACTACTGATAGTCCATAGAAAGAGCTCTGCACGAGTGATAAATAACCCCTATAAAGAACAAACAAACAAAACAAGAATCACAGATAATTCATAAGAGATTTCATAGTGAAAACGACTGAACAGAATAAATGATCAATAAGGACAAAGCACATGACGCCACTCAACCCCTGAGGGATGCGCCATGCATTCCACTTGACTCGAAACGTCGTTAGAGATAATTGAATGCATATATGGTGCTTATAAAGACTCGCAATGGCTTACCGATGCATCAGCCCAGTGCTGCTATACTCACAGAAAAATCTGTTACCAATTCACCGAACCCGTATGATGGATGGCTTGACAAGCCTTGGGTGCGGGATCAAACCATTGGCTATCGCAACATCGAACAAGGGTGTGTCGCAGAGCACCTCTAACCACTGCGCCACCCCACGTGCACTACTACTATTACGTGTCGCAACAATAAGAAACTGAAGACTCAAGCGGTTATATAATTGCTTGAGGTTAATAAATACGATTAGAATTATTGGTAAAAGTCTGTACTCTGTCCACTCCATACTGCAAGGAAGAAGATAGCCTGGCTGTTGTGGGGGACCGACTATGCGTCTCGTGATTAATAATTGATATATATACATATATATATATATATATATATATATATCATTCCTAAGGACCTTTGTCCTTGAGCTGACTTGAGATTAGTACTAGTTGCAGCTGCAGCAGTGGTAGTGATAGCAGTTCGATGACTGACAATTCGACAATTTCGCCTTCTTCAAAGTCTGCACGTACGTCATATCATACCAATACATTATTTATGTTCCAATGTACGGGTATGCCGTGGCAGAGTGGTTGTGATGCCCGTTACGGTGCGCGTGGGCCGGTTCCCCCTCCCCCCCCCCCCCCCCCCCCTTACACTCTCCGCGTGGGCCAATCTCCCCTGCACAACTTGAATTTCAGGATTTTTCAGGAAAAAGACGATTAGATGCTAGAAGTACTGAGATCCGTACATCATAATAAAGCAATATTATTTTGATGATCATCTTCTTATCACTTTATTGACCCGTACTACAGATTTCTTTTCTCATTGTGCGCGTCTCAGTACATCTAGCATTCCACTCGTATCGAATTGTCATCATCGTGAACGTCGTAGAATGCTGCTTGAGAACGTCTCCTTGAAATCCTGGGGATAGCCCGGCTGTTGTGGGGGGATTCGCCCCACGCAAGACGCGATGTGCATCACAACCACTCAGCCACGGCTTCCCACTACTATATTTTCTATTATCATTACATTATTTTTACAAGATTATTACTTACCATCACGGAAGTGTAGTACATCTGCTACTCTCATCATTACTACTATTATTAATATTATTATTGTGAATAAACTGTAAGATTAAACATTAATATACTATTCTAAAAGAACATTGTCAATTTCACTCTCAATAATATGCGTAGTCCAGATTGTGAAGAAGATGAAGTGGCCGAAATATAGCTATTGAACTGCTACTACTACAACTACTGGGTCGCTCCGCTGCGTATGCTTTGACTACAGCAATAGAGACCAAATTTATCAACCAGAAGCAATCAATATTACATGGTTCTGATATCATATAACTGTACATATTCTTGTGAACAATTTGGTATAGAACTTGTCTGAATTCGCTTCAAGATGGAACTCGAGTGGGAACAAATTCGCTGTCTACTCAAACATGAATGGCGCGTAGGAAAAAATTGCTAATGAAGCAACGCTCAAGATCAATGGGGACTTCTGTGGACCGCCCTGGCCTGATTGATCCTTCAGACTGTCCTCTCCAGCTCTGAAGTCGCATTCCACTGGCCCCGGCCCTGACTGACTCTTCAGACTGTTCTCTCCAGCTTTGAAGTCGCATACCACTGGCCCTGGCCTGACTGATCCTTCAGATTGTTCTCTCCAGCTCTGAAATCGCATTCCACTGGCGCTGGCCTGATTGGTCCTTCAGATTGTTCTCTCCAGCTTTGAAGTCGCATTCCACTGGCCCTGGCCTGACTGGTCCTTCAGACTGTTCCCTCCAGCTTTGAAATAGCATATCACTTCCTAGCCGTCCTTTATTCAATTGTATCATCGCCCCAAACTCCACTGATCCTGTGCTCCGATTCACGAGCATTTTCCCCCAGGTGCCGTCCATGGATGAGTAGTAAGCGTATTTGTTCCCATAACAGCTTCATCTTCAAGTAAGTATAGGCAAGTTGTATACCAAAATGCTCGCAAGAGAATGCGCAACTGAACGATACCAAAATCACGCAATTTTAGCTTCATCTAGTTGATAAATTTCGTGCTTATGGATCTAGTGCCAAAAGTCATGAAACGCCCTGATATTACCATCATCGCGCGCGCTAAACAAGGGAATCCTTGAGATTTGAACGTCACTTGAACATCTACATTAAGACATATCGAAGCAACCGTGGTGACAAACCGATGACCTCGGTGGCGTAGAGGAAACATGTGCTCCTCGGCATGGATGGAACGCGAGTTCGACTCCCGCCTGGTTCGAATACCAGCATAACATTCGGTCAATACATATAGATACGACTAAAATAATTTGAGTACCAATTAGATCAAATAAGAACGACAAATGTGGCAAGCACACGAAGATCCCGTCTATCAGAGGATGCGTTGATTTCCTCGAGGACGGACTGCGACGAGGAATTCGCTCCAGGACAACTATTGTCATTTGAGCACGTTAGCCATGACTACACTGCAAAAGAATACTACATCCGGGGCTAAAACTCAAGATTTTCCACAAGAAAATGCGAAATTTGCTTAATTCTGACAAAATGGCACATCTGGATGTATAGTAAAGTTACGAGACGGGCCAAAGTGTTCCCTTTTTTCGAGATGAAATCACCTGAAATTTAGCATCGATGGGAGAATAACAGCCTTACGCCCTGTGGACATATAAGAGTGGAGAATCCGCCCAATATAAAAAGCTAAAAGGACAAGGTAGAGCTCTTGGCGTTGATCAATCCCTGAGCGTGATAGAGCGCATATCTGCTCGCCTTAACAGTGACTCGTGGTGGTCTCCCGCTGTATCGAGTCAGTGCTGCTTATCCTTCCAGAAAAGTCTGCGAGCAGTCTCGTGCCAATTCACCGACCCACGAGGGGAAGAATAGCTTGGTGAGCCATGAGCCCGAGATCGAACCATTGACCTTGTGTGGAATACAGAGCACCTCTAACCACTGCGCAACATACGCTACTCCGCCCAACATACCGTATAATTCTTTGATCTGCTACAAAAGATTACATCTATCGGCAGTGTTTAACATAAATTCGTAATAGGCGATTTCTCGACTGGTAGAAGATTTCATGACATCACATCCTCTTCGTTTCATAGAAGGGACTCGGATCTATCGCCTTAATCACAAATCAATCTTTACTTAGTCCTCTCTAAAATTTCTAAAACGTCTAAAGTCGAAGAACCCGCAAAAATTGGAAACAAAATTGGTGAGAACTCTCTAGTTGACCGCGTGGTATGGATGATCATATACGCAATAATGCAGAGTGATATGCAAGACTTCGGTCCCCGGGCGGTAGTGAACCCGCGTAATTCCTTTAGCGGCACCGCGTGCTAACCACGACTCCAACGAGGCTTCTGTTGAAGTATCACTGCGTGATACATCGTATAGAACTCTCAGCGATGATTCTCCAATGGTTGGGCCTGCTAAGCACATATCGGCATGGATCCCAGTCAGGCTGACAGTCATTAGATATAGGCAATTAATAAATGTAATGATCGATAGATTGTATAGCAGAGTGGTAGCAGAACAGGGTCTTCGCCAGTGCAGTGGTTAGCATACGCTCCTGGAAAGAGTGAGACGCGGATTCGACTTCCGAGTGGGGTTTATGGCCTTGTATATCACTCACCATTATTGAAAATGAAATCTACAACAGGTTCATTAATATTCAACACGAAATTAGAAGCAGTTACAAACGAGTAATTACGCTGAAGAGCACCATGTTGCCCTCAACTGGTTGGGAATTCCGACTGTTCATTTGTTTTCTCTACGAAATATCCACCCAGATGGTTAACCACCTCGTCGTGGCTAAGAGATGCTCCTGGATGTCGCACTGCGAAGTATAGCGGGGGTTCAAACTACAACAGAGCCACCCAAGTTGAGAAGAAGAGCGCCGGATCAGACTTACCTCGGGACTCCAAGGAAAAGAAGCGGTTTAATTGTGCTGGAGTACGCACCATCAATGAAGACGGGTCGTCCACGTATCCCAGTGAGTAAGTTCGAAATTTGAACGCTGAAGCAATAAAATGGTAGAAATATGTCCTATGGCCTCTAGAAAACCAGAGAATTTCATTGGGGTAAATGAAGGAAGCTCTTCTATCTTGCAGGCAAAAATTCACAAATTCCAACGCTTTCTGTCTTGAGTTGTAATACTTGATCTAAGCTGAGATAAGCTGATATAATTTTGAAAGGTGCACGCATGGCGCAGCGCCTTGAGGTGTTTTGCGACACACACGTTGCAGACCCCTAGATAGCCAAAGATTAAGTCCCGCTCATAAGGCCCACGAATCCTTCCATAAGCTCGGAGTTGGTGAATTTATATCAGTCTTATCTGCGTTGATAATCACAGCGAGTTATTGTAAACGTCAGAGATATGCATTCACTCACCACAAACGATGTTAGATGAAGTCGAATCCATGAGGATTCTCTAAAAGAATTGATCATCGTCGAGAGCTTTATCTTCGTTTATTTATCTCCCAAAGAACATTCACAGTTTACTATAAATGTCTATATATTGAGACATAGATCCAAGAAAATTGAGTGTTATACAAAAATTGGGCCTCAGGCGGGAGTCGAACGAGCGTTTCACGCTTACCGAGGCGCCTTCTACTACAGGGCCATCGCTTCGCGACTCCACATATTCCCTAAACACTGGTAAAAGCACCATCTTCTTTGCCAGAATGCCTATACTCTTTTGTATCCACATATTCAATAAATAAACCTAAGGTGTAAGTTCCGCTCATTACCAATTCTTATGACATCACAGACTATATTATCTACATGGTTCCATCTCGTCGAAGAACATCTGAGAGAACTCACAACACAATAAGCACTGAAGGCAACCAGTAATCGATATCCTTCCCCCCATCCGAACAAACCAGCAAAGCCAGACTACTTACTTCCACAAACTTTATACTAGACTTCCGTGCTCCGGTAGCTTCTAACGAGTTTCTCCCCCCCCCCCCCCCCCCCCTAAAGGATAAAAAAAAAGGTAAAGCTCCTGGCACTGATCAATCCCTACGGGTTAATCCATACATTCGTCATCAACCGGCATCGCTAGAGGTGACTGATTGCATATCCGTATTTACATTGACTTGCGATGGCATTACCAATATATCAAGTCAGTACTGCTATCCTTACAGGAAATCTGGTACCAATTCGCACCATGGAAGAATGGAAATTTTAGTGAGAATTGAGCACAGGATCGAACCATCGACCATGTGTGTCGCTGGAAACCTCTAACTACTGCGGCACACGTGTTCCTTCTGCTCTCTCACCCTACAGTAGCACTAGTATTGTTATACGATAAGGCCATAGTTGGCTACTATTCAAACAGAAAAGAACTCTATATGTTAATGTATAAGTTTATTCTATGCATTCAGTTGTAACAAAAGAACGAGTGATCAGTTAAAAACACCACAGACATAGAAATTCTTTTACCACTTCACATAAATGAATTAAAATAAATAAATACTACCAGATGAGAGATCAACGAAAATGGAATGTGTTATGCCTAACAAACGACAAATTACTATATACCTACGACTATACATATTGCTCGACATTGTCATCGGATACATCCACGTCTAAACAAGCAGTGGCATGGCTAATCGAAAACGGACTACAGAGTATTTTAAGCCACAATTGTTGGTCCTTTTCTCTTTATAAGACGTTGGTAGCGATGGCTAAATCGCTATAACATTCCTTAACGTAGACGTCACTCCATCCAAAATGAACTCGACTTGTGCCCGGCTGCATGCATTACTCTCTCGGTTTGCTGAAATCGCGGAAATTTGTCAAAAAGTTTCTTGGGGGTAATGATTTAATTGGACCCTGCAGCAACAAGAACACAATAAATCTAAAAGACCGAGTTTCTCTAAGCCTCAGCATGTCGAAATAAAAAAGGAAAACGCAGAAACATCGTGGCCTAGTGGGTCTGCGGACCCACCCACTTTGCGAAGCAACACTGGACGGTCTGCCCCACCTCCTCCTCATCTCTAACTAAGGGCGTGGGAACTCCCTGAATGTATTTTTGTATACCGTTCGTTTCGAGTGTTTCCTTAAGACCACGCTCATAATTCAATATATCGGATAATTATTATTTGAGCCAACATTCCATGTGGTCTGTTATAGGCTTTTGTACAGCCCGCTACAAGTGTTTCAACCTTGGCAACCTCCTCAGTCGGGTAGGCCCTTCGTTTTTAGCCCATCCTCTCGGGGGCCTTCATCCTCCAATATAGATTAGGCAACGACATACAATTTGCATGTCTCGTTTAGTGAAATAAATTAGTAGATAAAAAGTCTCGAAATCGATAGCTTTCCGCTATATGAGTGTCCATAACAGACCACATGACATGTTGGCACAAATGATAATTATAAGATATATTGAAGTTTGAGCAAGGTTTTGAGAATATACTTGAAACGAAAGTTACTACACGGATACTTCCAACGCGCTCCCACGCTGGGATTTCAAAAAAAAAAAAAAAAAAACAAGCCATGTATCTTGAATGAGGGTTGCGCCATGCATTCGACTTGATCAAGCAGCGCTACAGGTGATTGAATGCATATTTGGCCTTTACAATGACTCGCAATGGCCTGTCAATGCATCAGATCAATATGCTAAGCTATAATCCACCGCAATTCTGGTGTCAATTCACCGACGCCGTAAAAACGGAAGGCCTGGTGAACCATGAACTCGAAGTCGAACCATCAACCTGTGTACAGCGCAAAGCACTTCGAACGACTGCACCACAGGCTCTCTTTATTGAAAAACAAAATTTAAAAAAGGACACAAAATGTACTAATGCAGGACGCTGACAAATATCCGCTATTATACATTGAGACTTAAGATTCTGTGTTCAACGTGCATTTACGGAATAAGGCAACTGCGACAATTTAATTACTTTAGCTAGAGATCATCTCTGATGATATCCCACAAGAATTTCTAGCTAAACTAAGTAAATCATCTTCTCTAGAAACTTTTGCATGGGAAGCAATTACTCGCTGAAGTGAATGGAACCCATCCGACAGATCCCCATCATTTCCGAAGCACGTCAGAGTTCTCGTGGATTAATCTGGTGGCCACTCCATAATTCAAACTGAAAAGAAAGGTTACTAAGCAAAGCGCAAGATCAGTGAGTATCAAAAACTGCAGATAAACATGTTCCCGCACAAATTTATGATTTAATGTTTGAACTCCAAATGTTCCCAAAAGTCAGATCCAGATACCAGGGACATAGAGGTGTAAGAAGTTATTCACTCATTACTTGTTCCTCGTCTTCCAGTATTAGTTTCAAAGTAATGTTAGGGTATTATAGCCTAGAGAGATCCATGACCGCTTAAATACAAATATAGACGACTCACAAATTTGCGAAAAACTTTTTGTTCGTCATAGTGAAAGCAGTGAAAGCATTAATGAGATATGGTTTTGGGTTAGCGAGAAATTTTCTGAACTTTTTCGTTTCAACTAACAATTTTTCATACATTTGAGTTCATTTTCTTACTATCGTTTGGAGCAGATTCTTGCGATTATTTTGATCTATAACACTTATGAATTTGTTTCAAGATGGGATCGAACCGAGAGCAAAAATGATTGTTGATGCCAAACGAGTATCGCTGCTTGCCAAAGTACCATTTGAACCGAAACGATACTCTTGTAGCATTCAAAGTCTCTTTAGCTCTCGGTTCAATTTCATTTTGAAACCAATCCATAAGGCTGTATATCAAAATAATCGCAAGAAGCTGCTCTAGAAAATAGTAAAAGCAGAAACTTAAATGGACGAAAAATAATCAAGAAACACGGAAAAGTATGGGAAATTTCGTGCTAAGCCAATAGCTGCGGTCTACGAACGGACAATAAATGAAACTCTGCCAAAACTAAAATCCAAATTGATAACACCGGTTCATTCTAGTCTATGAAAGCTATCTAATAAAGTGTCTTTCTAAGTAGAATATTTTAGAGATACCAGCATGGTCACTCTGTGATGTTCAAGTTGCGGGAATTTTGAGATGGAACGAGGGTGATTTCGGAAAATGAAAGAAATCATTGCTCACTCAAAGGAACAATGTCCCTTACATACACTACAAAGAAGTGTTATCAACATTTCCACACTTCATAAATGATGCTCCAAGGCAAGTCCGGTACCAAATCACCGACTGCGGAGTGAAAGAAGACAGGGTGAGCTCGATGCGGGATCGAACCATCGACAACCCATTGATCCACCACGTGCAAATCGCGGAGTACTTCTCTAACCACAGCATCACACGCGCTCTTACCTCTATGGTGGAGTTATTACCGTAGAGGTTATTTATACAGTAAGCAGACCCACGCGGAAAGTTGTCGTCCCATTAAATTTTGAAGCCGTTTTCCAATTGCTTCCTCCAAATACGAAATAACGAGCGCACGTATAACCTCGGGCTTGGGCTTAAAAAAATTAACAAGACCATAACTCTACACTAGCGTCAGGAAATATTACTGGAAAGGAATCCCATATAATTGGGTGGAATGGGACCAGTTTACAGAAAAAGGTCCGAGACTAAATTGCGCAAAAATAGCACTAGTGAGAATAGTAAAGGGTTGAGACTGATGTGTTCACCTCGCTAGAACT